TGAGCAACTACTAAAGTACCAATTTTTGCGATTTTTGCAACCAGCATTGCAAGGTAGTGCTTATTAATTTCCCAAATGAACGACAACTGGATCATTTATTGCTAACAAGGATTTTACTGTCAGTAACACTAACAACAACAACTACTGCTTCATCAGGCTATCTGGAAGTAATTATGAAAGATACTATGGCCAGACTGGAACTAAACTGCTGCATGCTGATTTCATAGTTAACAATTTGTTGATGGTAAAAATGTAAATGCTGATGTTGTACCAAGCACAGTGTAGACCTCAAATCAGCAAACATTCAAATACTTCTTAATTTCCAAAAGAAAAGAGGTAGTCTGGTCACAACTAAATCAAAACTTCGTTCTAAACAATCATTGATTTGACTAACAACTCCGTTTTAAACAATCAAAGCTCTAATACTTCACTTTTTAAGATAATGTTACCAAATATTTATAATCATTCTCTGTACATGTTCTGTTTGTAGTTATCTGAAGCCAGATCAGGGCAAAAGAACAAAATTCAAGACTCCAATTAAAAAGAAGACTCTCAATCCTGAATTTCATGAAGTAAGCAAATTTGCATATTTTGGTATTATTATTTTTATGTCATATTTTATGTCATATTATATTGTATGTCATGTTATAACCTAGATTTTAAAATGCAACTTTCATGAGTCAATACAGCAATTCATTCTGATTTAACATACATCTGAGAAGTTTAATTTTAAAATGATTACTAATGTGATTTTATTATGTTAATTAATAATGAAATATTTTCATATCTATGCTTTTAATAGGAGTTTGTGTATGATGTAAAACTGAGTGAATTGGCAAAGAAGACATTGGAGTTGACAGTCTGGGATAAAGATATCGGAAAGAGCAATGACTATATTGGTAAGAATCATCAGACTGGACATGTGCCAAATTTGACTTTATAAAACAGATACCCATGTTTCATTCCCATGCTTACAGATAGCAGAGTTTTGGTCTAGTTATAGTATATTTCCTTGTAGGATCCATAACACATATTTAAATATGAAGTTGATTTTGACCCTGTTTCATATTGTACATAAATGTGTCCACGCTTCATACCCTAAATAAGTTAAATTTTCGAAAAATCTTAACATTCTATTTCCTTTGGTAGGTGGCATTCAGCTTGGTATCCATGGCAAAGGTGACAGACTGAAGCATTGGTTTGAAACATTAAAGAACCCAGACAAAAAGTTTGAGAGGTGGCACACGCTATCAGAGGAACACTTTGATGATGCTTAATATTATATTTATGTCAAAAAATGTGTAGTATATCACCAAATATAAATATATAATAAATAATATTAATCTGAAAGAGCCTTAAAATATATAGTTAATAATATTAATCTGACATAGCCTTACAGTTTATTACTGTGGTGCTGATATCCTGCTGTTGTTAAAGAATTAATGTTCAATGTAAATTATTGGCAGGAAATGAAACTGGCAAATTGTACATTACCGTAACATTCTCAGTTTTCCCATAAGACATTTAAATGCATAGATATTTAGATTTTTAATTGTACATATATGGTACTGATGAAATTTAATGTTGCTGGAGCTATGATGTCACAAGATTGTGTATTTTAACCCCCCCCCCCCCTTATGTAGCATTTTAATATCTAGAGGGCATTCTTGGAGTTAGAGATGTAATACGGACTGGAACACGTAATTTTTAGTATTGTTGTTAATACTGTATGATGACAGATATGTTGGATTCTGATTTCTTATGACCTAAAAACGCAGTTCTTGTAGCATACATCTGAATATTCATTTGATGAAACAATGAAATTCTGTAATACACATGTGCACTTGTAACAATCACTGCATGTGTGTATTAGTGGTTTCAATTTCAATTTTTCATCCGACAAATACTGTGTCCTGCAAATACAAAATTGGTGGTTTGTGATAAATTATAGATTCGGTTTACAACAATATTAAAAAAAATTGTGTTTTCATTCATATTAAAACCGTTAACATAAAAGGTTATAACTTAAAGAGAAAAGAATTTTTTTTTTTACTTTTTAACATGTTTACTGATTCTCTTCTAGCGAATGCATTAAATTCTCTAAATAATCTATTGCTTGCTTGATATTCACTAGTTCAACACTGAGGGCACTATTTCAAATATGATAGAAGTGAACAGGCTGCACTAGAAGTGCAAACATGTTTGGGAGCTCGATAATGACATCATATTTTAAAACAGCGCCCTCAGTGTTCAACAGATAAGCTGCAGTATATGATTTATTGTACTTGGATTTGCTATCACAAGAGACAGGTATTTAGTTACATAAATGTGGATTTTAATAATTTGTATGGCTTGAAGATTTTAATATAGGAGAATATATCTATCACAGAACATGATGTATTTTGTATGTGAATATTGTAAAATATTGAACTTTTTTGTTGTGTACTTATCGACCAGACTCTGAGATATTTAAAAAAAAATGTTTTCATTATGTTAATATCTATCATTATGATACAACGTAATCACAAAAAATGCGACACTGCTAGTTATATAAAAAAACTAAATAAGCTTTTTGGGAATTCAGAATTATGGATCTTCACAAGCATATTTTATTCATGGTGTACTTAATAATTGCAATTCTGTCATAGTTGACCTTGACGTAGGGTAGAATGTGGACTTTTGAGTCTACATGATACGTATATTCATACTAATGTTTTTTAAACAGAACCAATGAACAAATAGTGGATCATATCACGAGTCAAAATAGTCTTCCTCGGTTATTCTTAGGATTTAAAAGTTGCAAATATTTTTGTTTTTTTATCACAATAATTTAAATCACTATTCAATCTATCATCACTTACCATGCTAATATCATTCGAATTGCATCTTTTCAAACATCTTCAAATGTTTTATTGTTCTTAACTGATTAAACACCACAGTCATTGCCAAGGTCACAGCTAGTTGCCCCTTGGTACCTCCTTTTATGCAAATTTATGTATAGACTTGATTGACTGCTGCTAACAGCGGCCCTAAGATTATCACACATACACATATAGGTGGGAATACTGCTGTGTCTGCCATTCTGTAAGTCGTCCAGTCGTCTGTCTGTCTGTCTGTCTGTGTGTGTGAAGTAGATATTGAATTGGCAGGTACCTTCAGTGGGTCTCTAAAATTGGCATGTACTTGGGGTTTGTCCATTTAATAACAGTATCTATTTTAGCAAATGATTTTTCTTAATGACCAAAACAGATATTTTCAACCACTTTTTTAAAACTGAGGAAATGTTTTTAAAGCTCTCTATAATTTGCTCAATAATCTTTGGTTTATTTTGGATGATGACTAATTTTTTATTTATACTTCACAGTTATACAATAAAGCTTGTCAGGATATCACAATTCGCTCATTGCTTTTTTTGTTTGCAATCGATTTTATATTGATGTTGCTTAGCATATCATTTGCATATCATTTGCATACAATGCTTACAGTAGTGTCATTCCATTACTATACAATATTACTATCTTATTTGCACATACTTTTTGTTCTACTGTCTCTAGACAATATTTGCATATATTGTTTACATCAGTGTTGTGCACTTTCATCCATTATTGTCCTTACTATCACCACTGCTAGACAATATTTGCATCTCATTTGCATTTTATATTCCAAGTGTTGTGCACTTTCATCCATTATTGTCCTTACTATCACCACTGCTAGACAATATTTGCATCTCATTTGCATATTCCAAGTGTTGTGCACTTTCACCCATTATTTTCCTTACTATCACCAATGCTAGACAATATTAGCATCTCATTTGCATATTATATTTTAAGTGTTGTGCACTTTCATCCATTATTGTCCTTACTATCACCAATGCTAGACAATATTTGCATCTCATTTGCATATTATTTTTCAAGGGTTGTGCACTTTCATCCATTATTGTCCTTACTATCACCAATGCTAGACAATATTAGCATCTCATTTGCATATTATTTTTCAAGGGTTGTGCACTTTTATCCATTATTGTCCTTACTATAACCACTGCTTGACAATATTAGCATATCATTTGCATACTAGATTTACAAGTGTTGCGCACATTCATCCATTATTTACCTTACTATAACCACTACCAGACAATATTTTCTTCTCATTTGCATATTTCAAGTGTTGTGCACTTTCATCCATTATTGTCCTTACTATAACCACTGCTCGACAATATTTGCATATCATTTGCATATATTGATTACACAAGTATTGTGCACTTTCATTTATTATTGTCCTTACCATCCCACTGCTAAACAATATTAGCATATCATTTGCATATAATATCCCAGAAGTGACATGCAATTTCATCCCTTATTGTCTTACCATTTTCACTGCTGGACATTATTAACAGTTACATTTTGAAAATTATAATATAGTATTTACTCCACCAGTTTGTATTTTCAAAATGTTAAAAAAAGTGATAATTATAGGGAATCCAAAAGTTGCATAACATAGGATCGTAATTGTGACACATTCTGCAGTGTGCATGTATATTCTTAATTCTTTCCTCAGTGTTAATGTGAAGATAACATTGGTGAATGTTGACATGCCATCTTAATGTGAATGTAGACATGTCATGATAATGTGAATGTTGACATGTCATGATATAAATGTTGACATGTTATCTATGATGTGAATGTTGACATGTCGTGCCGGGTGTAAATGTTGACATGTCATCTATGAGGTGAATGTTTACATGTCATGCTGGGTGTAAATGTTGACATGCCATCTATGAGGTGAATGTTGACATGTCATGCTGGGTGTAAATGTTGACATGCCATCTATGAGGTGAATGTTGGCATGTCATGCTGGGTGTAAATGTTAACATGCCATCCTAATGTGAATGTAGACATGTCATGATATAAATGTTGACATATTATCTATGATGTGAATGTTGACATGTC